CCAAACGGAGTGTTAAATGTAGTAAATTCACAACTTAAATCTGACAGTTTAATTTGCCAAAATGCTTTGTTTGCATCTAAAATACTAAAGACCTTTGCATTTGTCATTTGAGATGAAATTTCTTCAAAGGTTGGTATGTGATAATGTTCTTTCAGTATATTTTGGTTAAGGTGCTGAGGATCTAAACACACTCTTAAATTTCCATCCTGTTTCCTTACTACTACTAATGAATTCACGAATTCTGTTGGTTGGTTAACTTTCTTTATAATACCATCTTTTTCCATTCTTGCTAATTCCTTTTTTAATGGATTTAATAAGCTAAGTGGAATTTTCCTACAGGGTTCTATTTTACCAACAGTTCCTGGTTTTAATTTAATATGATATGTATATCCAGTTAAATTCCCAGTTCCTTTAAACAAATCTTGATATCCTTTTAAAAGTTCTGGTAACTTTTCATTAGAATCAGGATTTGCTGTACAAATCCTTTGTATTAGGTTTAATTTTTGCAATGTAGGTAAACCTAAAATAGCTGGAACAGTTTTATCACATGCTACAACTTGAAATTCTATTTCATCCTTGTCCCCTTTTAAAGTTTCACATAATAATTTACATTTTCCAACTACATCAATTGTAGTACCATTGTAATTATTTAAAGTGACTTTTGATTTAGTCAAACATTTCTCTCTTAAATTTAATTGTTTAAATTTAGGCAATGGTAGCACATTACACTGAGCTCCAGTATCCAACTTAACAAATAAATATTTAGATATGTTTACTTTTAGTTTTTCAAACCATTTTGTTTTATTTTTAGAAAATGGATTTATATCTTCTACTGACCCTAAAATATATTCATTACCATTATTATGTAACTCATGCTCTAAAATTATTCTGTACAACATTAACATTTTTAAAAGTGCACATTTTAGAAAAGTGATTTTTCTTTTTACAGTACAAGCAAATTTTATTATAAGCAGGACAGTTGTATAACTTATGAAAAGTTCCACATTTTCTACATGGTTTGGATTATTGTACTTATTTCCTTGATAGTTTGAAGAAGATTTAGTACTTTGTTGCTTTTGTTTTACATGAAAGTCTTTCTTACAAGGCTGACTTTTTTTCTCTGAAGGTCGAAATTTATTATGTTTGATAGCTTCTATTTTATTTTCTTCAGTTAAAGTTTTCAGCTGAAGTTCTGCTAATTCAGAAGCTTTACACATTTTAATACATTTCTCCAATGTTAACTGATCTTCCCTTAATAATCTATCTTTGAGATTTTTATTTAGAATTCCACTTACTATTCTATCCCTTATTAAACTATCTTTTAATTCTGCAAATCCACAGTTGCTACTTAATTTCTTTAAATCGGTTAAGAAATCATCAAACGATTCACCTACATGTTGTGTTGGACACAGAAAAATATATGTCTATCAACACTTTCGTTTGCTTTCGGCATGCAAAAATTTTCGAAAGCTTCAATTACTTTGTCAACAATCCTTCTTATCTTCTTCACTTAAATTAAAAGTATTAAATTTTTCAAGTGCTTCTTCACCAATTGTATGCAATAAAATAGCTACTTTAATTTCAGGTGATTTAGTAATACCACCAGACGCTAACATATAAATTTGGAATTTTTGTTTCCATTTCTTCCAATTTTCGCTTAAATTTCCTTCGAAACTTAGATTACTTGGTGGCTTTAATCCATCCATATTTAATTTAGGACTTTAAGTAGTTTATATATACGTATTTTTAGCCACTTCCAATAAAAATAAACAACTCACTTACCAGGGTTTGGATTTCATAGTAAACAACTTCCCATGATGTTTTTGTTTAGAACATCTTTATGGAGGTTGCATGGTTCTTCAAAAAAGATTTTCTTTTTTAATCAACAACAGGCTGTGCCATGTGTTGTATTTTATATGTGTTGGGTACGTGCTCAGTGATGATTACAAGATGTACACAAACATCATTTATTCTACATTGCTCATCTACTATTCTATATTACAGTTATGGTTAAAGATAATAATAGATACAGTTACAGTTACATATATAACAGCTACTGCTTATACGAATATTGTAATATAAGATTTTTCTGTTTCTTACGAGCCTTTATCTAAAGAGGGTTCAATGTCAGTTCTAGAGGAGGCATATCTGAAATTCCATCAAGTGGAGCTGTAATTTGATGCATGGGTTTCACAGCATATTTTTTATTGATCAAATACTTTTTGATGACTTTCTTTAACAATTATTGATCTTTAAGAATTCAATATTTTTCCTTACTTTCACTAAAGTCATAGTAATGTCACCATGCATAACTGTTTCATATTCTTGCTTTACTAAAAGTTCTGTGAATTTTGAGTTCTTTATAAAGAGGATAGAATGTTTTCCATTAAGAAAGATGTCAGATTCCTTGAGAATTTTTGATGAGTCAAAAAAAAAAAAAAAAAAAATAAATAAAAAAATCACCTATAATTTCAAGATTATTTGCAAATTCTATATTTTAGAACTGTAAAATTCTACTTGTATATTCTGAGCTCATATTTCTTTCACTCTTAGAATCTGTTTGGCTTTAAGTGTTCTTTTTTTTTAATTGAACTTCTAGCATTAAAAACAAATCTCAAAATATAAGAAGTGAATAATTTGGTTAAGCTGTTAAATCGATTTATGTCCAATAAATTCTTGGATTCTAGGGGATAGACATTCTGTGTGGTGCATTTTAAATTTTCATCTCAGTTCCAAATCTTTGTCACTCAAATGGAATCCATCAGCTTGAGGCCAGCAGTGCATAGATTCTTGCATTCCTTCCTTTTTAATTCCTCACCTGATATTTCTCTTCAGACAATGTCATTTGGTTTTCGTTCCCTTGGTGAAGAAACCCATTTAGTTTTACCATTTAGGTTTGGTAAATTTATGAAGCTTTTTGATTTGGTTTCTGAGAAATGGCTTGAATTTTGATGGGTCGTTTCTAATCTAGTGACAAAAAATTAACAAATCAGTATAAAAGTAAGGTGTTAAATTACATTTCAAAGTTTGGGTAACAAGTTATCTCAAGTCTCGCTGACAACAATGCTTCCCATCAATTCTGATGTAATCAAAAAAAGAGTTTTCATTGCAGCAACCTTGCTTTTCAAAGAGACAAAACTAGTACAGACATCATCATCCTTAACAACACTTAGATGAATAACTGTCCCATAAGATTTTGTGAAGCAGTTGAAAAACTGTAGATTTCAATTCGATCATTTTCTTTTAGGCAAGGTACTGAAATCTTATCCAGTTCATTAAGCTCATTACGCCATTTAGTTCAGATTGATTTCAGATTCAAGGAAATTCGTCATCCATAATATCACTCAAAATATATAACCTTTCCTGTAATTAAATGTAACTAAGGTGACACCCCTTGAACTGTCTTCATACTGGGCGGGAGGGCCGAGTGATGTCCATTAAAAATCCTCAAAAGAGGCATTTAACAAACTAGCTTGCTATGCTGGGAAGGACTCAATCCCACAATGCAGACTCTTTATAAGGCCGTCTGGCCTGTCCTTTCTGGCCATAGGAACTAGTCCATGTTAGTATACCCCCAGAGCCCTTACTGTCATAGTAAATTACTAAGTCAGTGTTTGCTACCCTAGAGGATCATTCCACAATATAATAATAATTGTCTGTCATGCTTCGCCTGTTTGGCAACACACAGACCAGTCCCAACTGAAGGGAATCCCTGAAGGGTTGGGTCACCAGTCAAAGTTCCCCAAGAGGTTAATGTATGCTAATCATGCTACTGTCCTGGAGCCCCAACTGAAATGGCAGACTTAGAAGTTTCTTTATAACTACTGCTACTTCCTGGGCATGTGGGGTTTCCACTCTCAGTTCCCTAGGTTCATCATGGTGGGTAACATGCATGCCTGAAGATCTGACTAGTCATCAAAAATTGCTCTCGTCAGTACTATGCAAGCTACCTTGCTCTACGGAACAGGACTTATGCCAACCCACCCAGACTGGGCCAGTGAAGCTTTGTCTCAAGTTATCTCCTAGCTAGGCAAGTGAAACAGCCAAGCTCATGATTTTAAACTCTGTGACCAAGATTGTTTAAGTACAAATACTAGCTAGTAGCTTCACAGGTTTTCCTGCATCGACCCCTGGGGGAACATTCCACTATATATCTAACAGCCAAAACTAATCAAGCACTTAATTTGAATTATAAATAAAGCAATAAATCTCAAAGGATGAAATATACAGCCTGTAAACTGTAGCAGAAAACCGTTTCAAATTTATCTGTTTCAAGAGAAAGGCCGTCTAAATAATGAGTATCAAAATAAAAACAGACCTTTTCAATGTTCCAGGCAACACCTAAAACCTTTAAAGAGGAAGTTGATTGGCCTAACAGTTCCCAGATATTTCCATTGATATGATTCCTTCTGGAACTTTCTTAATTCTTCAGAATTTGTTTGCCATTTGTGCAAATGCGTACTAGCTTTTTCAAATATCTCGATTAATTCCTTGTTTGTAACGAAAGTACTTTTTACATCTTCAGAGCCAAGAATTTAAAAACTTTTTAAAAAATATTTTTAAAATAATGGTAATAGTAATAATGGATACTACTAAAATCCTTTTTAAGGTGTTGGACTCTAATTTGAAGTTTTTAAATTGCAAGTTAATTGTGAAATAATCACCAGTGTACGTCAAAATCTGTGAACATGTGAGGTGTTGCCTAAGATGTATAAAGTGAACATCACCATGATAAAAAAGTTTGGGGGGGGATCAAAAAGCAAAAAATAAAATGAAAATTAATTGAAAATAAAAGTTTATTGAATCAAAATAATATATCAAATAATTCATAAAATATAATATGCTAAATAGTTAAGATGTTTATTTTTCTTTCAGGATTCATCTATTTTAGACTTTATTGACAATGAAGAAGTAAGTAGTTCAAATTTACTTTTCCTTTATTATGTATATATGGGACTTTATAAAAAGTATAATATTTTTCTTTCCTTTTAGATACCTTATGATTTTCTAGATTTACTTATGGAGTACCCGGTATGTTATGTGCTTTATCATACTTCTGTGCTAGCATTGTAAGGAATTAAAACTTTCTAGATTTATAAAACTATATTAAGAATTTTCAGATCTTGAATTTTAAGCTTAAAAAAGAAATCTGATCTGTAATGACATAAACTATCTATATCTCACTTTTTCTTGAATAGTGAGATAGATTGCAGTAGAACATGTTAGGATATGAATGTAGTATTGCTAAGTCTATATAGAATATAATGATATTAAGTACACTTTATGCATTAATGTTATTTTTATATATGCCATTATCATTTGGATTATATGTCATGGTCATTTGTTACAATTTTCCAAATTGAAGCATGTTTTCTTCTTTTTAGTTATTGCTGGTAAAGAATAACCTTGATTGAAGTGGATGTTTAAATGCTGTCTTTTTCTGCTTGCATTACTTAATTCTAGCATGTATTGTGGCATAATTTTTGTGTCATTGCAGTGCTTCAGAATGGATAACTCAAAAGTTCCTTTTTGTCATATTATGCTCTGATTTTAAAAAAGGAGAAAATGGTAATCAGGTTGTTCATAAAATTTGTGCTTTATATAAACTAATTTCTGCTTCTTATGGCATATTTGCAAGGTGGTGTTATAAGGTATTTCTCTCACCTTCTTAGCGAGCCTTCGTGGTGTAGTGGTCTGCCTGCTGGGCGCATATTCCAGAGGTCCGTGGTTCGATTCCCAGCAAACGCGTTGCTAATTTTTCATGACTTCTGCTTCCAAAAAATACCTAATGTCTCTACAGTGTGAGACATTTAATCATGGAAATTTTAGCTTTGAAGAGGATACACATTCTAGACAATCCTTTGTAAACTAGGTATCCTTTGTAAGCTATCAAAGAAAATCCACATCATACAGTTCAGGAATTATCAGACCAACTAAATATTCCAAAAAGTACATTGCATGATCATTTAAAGAAGAATGGTTATGGAAGCTGCTATAATGTATAAATGCCCCATACTTTAACAGAGCAGAATGTGCTTACTTGAATTTCTTCATGCGATTCTTTGCTAAAAGAAATAAAGTTCTTATTTTGAAATAGTTCATTGCTGAAGAAGAGAAGGGGTATGATGCAATTATGTTACAAGAAAAAGATATGGGGCAAACCAAAACTCCTTTAATAACACTGAGAGGTGAGCTGCACAACTCCACCCCCCCCAATATAATGTTTTATGTATGCTAGGACTACAAAAGCACTGTATGTTTGAATTGTTGCTACCAAATTAGACAATAAATTTGGAAAAATACTGTTCCCAAATAGCAGTTTTAAAAACAGAAATTGAAGCTAATTGCTTAGAACTGATCAATCGCTGAGGTGCTGTCTTTTAATATGACAATGTTCGACCCCACATTTCAATGAATGCAGACAAAGATTTATTGAGTATGGCTGGGATGTTTTGTTTCATACTTCATATTTGCTAGACTTTGTCTGCTTAGAATCTCTTCAGAATTCTGTGGATGTCAAACAGCAGCTTGATAACTTCTTTTCAAATAAATGAAATGACTTTTTTAGAAAAGGAATTTTCCATCTGTGAGAGAGATGGCATAGAATAAAATATTTCTCATGCAATGCAATGAAATTTTTTTAGATTTTTGGTCTACTTCATTTGAATTTATCATGAAAAAACCATAATGCTTTCCAGATGACCTAGTATATATAAAAATAATCAGAAAAACAGTCATCTAATGGGGCTGGTACTAGAGCAGTGGTTCTTAACCGGGGGGGGGGGGTGCGGGAATGTATTTTTGGGGGTCCGGGAGAAGCCCCTACCTAACCATACAAATTATTAAATATTATTTATTAGATTTCTTATAATAAAATATTTGAAATCTGCAATAGTGTCCCCAATATTGAAGCTCATAAAAATTGGTAGCACCTAGCTCACTTATCGGCAAAAGACATAGGAAAGAGCCGGTGCCGATGAGCGTATACACTACACAACCAAAAGGCATGAAACGTTACAAACGAACGTGAACAGGCAGCTAGGTGACGGAGAAAAGAAAAAAAACTTTCTGGGAATACAAGCGGAGAACGTTATCCCAGCTTGCGCATGCGCTGAGTTCAATATGTGCTGCTCCAATGGAATCTACGAATTTGCAGATTTGTATCTGCATCTACTGCTCCTGTGTTAGGTTGAGTCAACTATTGTGTCTGCGACATGTGTATTGTGTATTCTGACTTGTCCAGAAACCTCTTGAGACTAATACATTCTTAATTGCCCGTTCAAGCCGAATAGGATTCAGTGACATTACAAACGTAAGAACATTTTAATATCATATTACATTATTTCTAAATAATTAAATCGATTATATTGAACCCCACTATGTCAAAAACAATGACAATGGCACGATAAGTATGCCGGTTATGGATTTACCTGCACAACCGAAAAAGATGGCACGCAACGACCACAATGCATCTTGTGTTCCAAAATATTTTCAAACAGCAATCTCAAACCATCAATAGTTATTAGAGCATCATTTGGTATATATTTTTATTATTAGAGCAACAATCTGCATGGTGGCGAAAAAGCGCATAGCATGAACAGCTTGAAGTCAAAGAAGGCTCGGTTTGATACCAGTGGAACTATCCTAAAATTTGCTTACCAGAAATTCAAAAACTTTTATTAAAAGCGTCATATCAAGTGGCACATTCATGTGAAAAAAAAAAAAAAAAAAAAAAGAAACCTCACACGATTGCCGAAGGGTTGATTAAACCTTCTGCTATAATTATTGCTAAAACAATTGTAGATTCAAAAGCACATAAAAAAATCCAACAGATTCCATTATCGAATGATATTATATGATCGCGAATACAAGCTCTCAGTGAAGATGCTTTAATGCAAGTTATTGAAGACATAAAAATCAGTCCACTAAAAATAAGCATGCAACTGGATGAGTCAACTGATGTTGATAATTGTAGCCAACTTTTGGTATTTGTCAGGTATGTGAAGGAAAAAGAAGTGATAGAAGAATTTCTATTTTGTGAGCCACTGGAGGTGAACACGAGAGGAATTGATGTTTTCAATCGCATCAAAGATTTTTTTACTAAATATCAATTACCAATGAATGTGATTGGCTCAATATGCACTGATGGAGCCCCAGCAGTGTTAGGCAAAAATACAGGATTTGTTTTCACACATGAAAAGAGAATTACCGGAAGTTTTAATAACGCATTGCATGTTGCATCGTCATGCACTTGCGTCGAAAGCATTGCCAGAAAGTTCCAAACAACATCTAACTACAGCAGTAAATGTAAAATACATCCGAGGGCGAGCACTTAATCATCGTATTTTTCCTGCATTTTGCGAAGAAATCGGTGCTGATCATACCGTGTTCCTATATCACACCGAAATACGATGGTTATCTAAGGGTCGCATGCTTAACAGAGTTTTTGAATTGCATGAGAAAATTATTCAATTACTGACTAGTCAAAACTGTTATTTAGTAAAAGATTTTGAGAGTAATGATGCAATGCTGAGGCTGGCCTACTTAGCAGACATATTTAGCCATTTAAATGAATTGGATCTATCAATGCAAGGATTTGGTATAAATATAATAATATCTAGCAAAGAATTATCTTCATTTATTGCAAAATTAGAAATTTGGATACGTTGAGTAGAAAAGGGGAATTTTGCAAACTTTCCCTTGCTTGATTCTGTTATTGCGAAAAATGAAAAGAATACAATTATACTTGACATTTTAATACATTTGAGACTATTGAGCGATTCATTCAATGGATATTTTTCTACCGGAAATATTACCAAAATTCAGAAATGTATACTGGATCCATTTCTATTTAACTTAAATTTGATGGATGATACTGATGGTGATCTGAAAAAAGATCAACTTATTGAAATGCGAGCAAATGGACATGTTCAAATGGAATTCGAACAATTAGAATTGTAACAATTCTGGTGCTCACAGTTACAACGTTATCCAGAGTTGGCGAATGGAGCACTGCAGTTACTCTTACCCTTTGCTACCACCTACTTGTGCGAAATGGGATTTTCATCGCTTTTGCATATAAAAACTAAAGTGAGAAATCGCTTAAATGCAAGTGATGATTTACACGTATGTCTTTCAAAAGGAATCTCGCTTCAACAGTATAATAATGAACAAACAACAACAGACTAGTTGTTAATAAAAATAATATTCTTTTGTATTTATATAAAATGTACAATGTTTTTGAATAAACAATAAGTTTCGCAAAAAATGTATTTTTCTAGACTAAAAAATTTAAAACACATTTTTCAATGGGGTGCGGGAGATATATTTCCAGGTTCAATGGGGTGCGACTCGCTAGAAAGGTTAAGAAACACTGTACTAGAGGGAAAGTTGCATTGCTTTGTATAATGTGTAAAGTATTTTGCAAAAAAGTCATAATTATCCGTATATGTGCAAAGTGGAATTGACAAGGTTTTATAGAAAAATTAATTTATGTGTTTATATTTAATAGCATAATCTCTTCTATGATGGATACTGTATAGCAGAGATCAGAGACTTCAAAGGTTCTATAAATAAATACCCTGTGAGATCTTCTTTTTTGCTTTTGAAGCCAACAACCAGGTAAATAAGTATTTTAGTGTCAATGACTATATATTTAAAGTTTTTATGAATAATTTTAAATTTTCATTAGTTATATTGTTCTACAAGTTATGTTCTGAAAGCTTGTCAGATAAGCTTGCTCAATGTATATACCGTAATTTCTGGAAGAAACGCCGCAGCGTTTACGTGTTTAAAACTTAAATTTTCAGCGGGTGCGGCGTTTAGGTGCACTAAAAATAAAATATTTCCTATGATGGTCATTGTACATAGGTTGGATGGCTTGTCATTGTGCATAGACTGGTGCTGTTCCCACACAAAAGACCACTCAGTTGCTTTTTGCGAACGTTATTTTGTTTACATTCTTTCCCTTGAACGGACCTACATGTCTTATTCACCCTAAACGAGATCTCAGAACAATAACATTCTTCCCCCTTTCAAATCAACATTCTCATCAGTTTGAATAGTCTCTCTCTTCTGCCATTCGATGAATCAATCTTCCATCCTCTCTCCACCCCTGCCTTTTCTGCAATTTTTTTCAAAGGCGGACACGACTCCACCTGCCTCGAACTCTGACGTATTTCTCTTTCAGCATGAATGGATTTTTCTTGGCATTCTGCCAGATACAGATCCCATCAGTTTGGGTACAAGTACTTGTTGGATAGTTTTTAAGCATGCATTTTTCTTAACTGGTATGTCATATATCAGGACTTAAGTTGAGTTTTTGCATCTATATGGCCCACGACGATGTCACGCGCAATTTAATCTATTGCGGCGTTTACGCTGATGTGGCGTTTCTGTGTAATTTTAATTTTTTTCTCGCCATTTTTCTCGAGTGCGGCGTTTTACGCTGATGCGGCCTTTCTTCCGGAAATTACGGTAATAGTTTTTTTCTTCCCTTAAAGCTTCAAATTTTAAAATAATTTATTTAATAAAAGGGTGTGAAACTGCTTTATAATTATGTGAGAGTATTGTCATGTATTTTTAATTTTCAATCTAAATATTTATAATGTTATATTTATTTCTTCAGACCATCATGGGTGATGTGCGAATGCTCACATATGGTAACAACTGGACAAAAGAAGAGGAACTAGATGTTGAAGCTCAGCTATTGCTTGAAAATTCTGGTCCTTTATGTTTGGATCCTGATGTAGCAGTGTCCATAATTACGAATTCCATTGAGTACTATAAAAATCCGTTTGCATCTCAATCACTGAGAATGTAAGCATTTTAATCTGTTATTTTTATGTGTGTTTTTTAACAGTTTCATCAATTCTCATTAAAACTCATTGATCTTCTAGTCTTTCCAAGATAAGACGAAAATTTGCTCTGAAACAAATTTCTCACAAAAAGTATCTTGCTCCAGTAGAAACAAAACTTTTAGATTTTATTGAAGAAAATGAACTACCCTCAGTGGGAAAGGAAGTATTGAAAGATGATGTTTTCAAATATGAAAATCCTCCAGTAAGCATGTTTATTCAGTCATAATTCTATATTTAGTGACTGCATAACAGTATCATTTTAACATATTAATATTATAATTTTTGTTTCATCAGAAAACAGTCTGCAGTGTACCTTTCTGTTTTCTTCATCAATTGGTAGTTGATATTACTGGTAGCTGTTGATTGTATACTGGGTTACTATCCACTTTGGCAAATTGCCAGCTTTAATGAGCTATTACCATTCTAGACAGTACAAGATTTTAAATTTATTTTTGAAATAATGATTGTACATTTTTTGCAGCAAAAATTTATTTTCATTGATTTGGCACCCAAGGGCTGCCTCCCTTAAATGATGCCAACTTCACAAATGTGAACACACAATATTGCTGGTGTTTTTTTTATACCTATTTGCAATTTTAAAACAGTTAAAAATTTTAAATGACACTTTCAGATGTGTTTCTACTAAATTTTCATTTCTAAAATGCAAAATCATTAGTTTTTGAATTCTTGTTGCCATTTCATTTCTACAGTTACCTTTGTTTATGAGTACACAAATGATATAGCATATTTAATTAACAGCTTTTTAGAATCACTCAAAACTGACATTTTTTTAAAAATTAATTTTATATTATTATATGAAGAAGTTTCAAAGCTTATTTAAATTTTGTTGTTAATTCTAGTATTTGCTAATGTTTCATTGCTATCCTTTTAAAGTATTTTCTCCCTCATTTCTGTGTGCCTTAGTGATGTAACAGGATAGCACATTGGGTTAGTAAATTGGGAGATTTGGTATTTGAATACCATTAAGAACAATGAACGTTTTTGATGACTTTTTTTTAATTTATTTTTCTGAAATATCAAAATGATTTGTTTAACTGTCTCATGCTATATTAATGCTGTTTAAACAAAGGTATAAATAAAAGTAGATTTGGTCGAAAATTCTGAGTTTCCTGTCTTTTTTTTCCCCTATAGTTTTATCATGTTAGAATGAAATTGACACATCATTTTTTCTACTGTATATGATACAGTGTAGGTCAAAAGTACTTAAACTCTAATCTGAAAAGCCACACATTTATTTTATTGCTGATTTATTTTGTTTTAGGTAGACAGTATTTAAGCCATAGACTTACTAAGTTACGATACGATTGACCAAAGAGTACTTTTTTTTTTAACCGATGATTCTAGAAATATGCACCATATTTCTTAATATATAAATCCACATGTTGACACTTGTTACTTTGTTTCAAGTTCTGTTGTAATATCAGCATGGCTGTTTATGATGTTCTGCTGCTGATCTTTTAGTTTAGGAAAATATATTTTCCTGTGTGACTCGTGGTATGCTGACTACTTTCTCCGCACCACCTGCTTGCTGTGTTTTGTATAATGCCAGTGTGTGATCACTTCATTGATGGTCAAATGAATTTACCCAAAAGAATAATATTTGTAAATATTTTACAATTTTAGACTATATAATATTTATGAGAGTTTTGGGAGCTTTTGAATTGTATTTTATTTCCTAATTTACCTCTATTTTTCTTTAATTTACTTTATAATATGATATAATTCATATAGCACATTTTGTTTTGTATTAGTATTTGTTATTAATATTCTCTTTACTTTTCAGCTGATTGAGTCAGTACCACATTCCATAGCTCCGTATTTGGTAAATTTCATTTATTCTTTCCCTTCAATTTATATTTAAAATCTCTTTTGCATTTCCCTGTATATAAAATATTTTTTCTCTCCCTCCTTTTATTTTTTTAGAAAAGAAGAATTTTAAAGGTGGTTGGAGACAGTAGTTCAGTCTTTTCTTTAAGACCTGTAAGTGATCTAAAAATCACTTTTTTATAATAATGATGATAATAAATTTTTTCTTATAAATAAATTAATTGGAATTTTATGTTTCTTAATTTTACCAATTCTATGTTTATATTATCCATTTGAAACTAAAGCAAATTTTGCAAACAAAAACAATTTTAATATCAGGCACACAGTATGTCTTTGAAAAAGTGTACTGCTTTCTGTTTGAAAGCTAACTTTTCTTTTAAATGCATAACTTCACAATCTTGTCAAATACTTGTTTAGCATATTTTAAAAATGTAGAATATTAAACATCATGATAAAATATGTTTAAACTTTTAAATGTAAAAATTCCTAAAAATAAAATATTAATAATGAGATATAATATTTAATGGTTTTAAATATAAGGAATCTTTTGACAGGGCTTTTATTTTACTTGCTGTTGTATGTTTATTATATAATGTACTGAAATTTGATTTTCTTTTTTGTCTTAAAATTGATTATTAAAGTGGTGTAGTTCTTATTCTAAATTTCCTATTATTAGCCATATATTTTAATCTAGTTTATTTAATTTTAGATTGAAGTTGAGGAATTTGTGTTTGAATATGAAACACTTAAAGATGGAGATGTCCAGATTATGCGTGATAAACTAGTAATAACTCAGACTCCACATGATGGCTTCTACCATGGAATATTGCATCCTTGTGAAAAAGCTCATTCAAGAAACTCAAAGAATTTGTAAGGAAAAAAAAATAATTGTGATTTAATAGTCTGGCTTATATTATCCACTACTGATTTTCATTCATTGCATGTTAGTTATGTTAGTGGAATAAAACTAATTAGTAAGTTGAATAAAACACAGTGAAGTAATACACAAACACAGAGGCAAGCACAGAATTATAAAGTGTGGTCAACATAATTATAATTGATACAAAAGAAACGAGGCTTTAGGCAACAAGTTACCATGATAGAAGCAAGCATCATTTGAAGGAAAAGCATGCTGTTTACACTAAATTAAGAATAGCAAAGTTAATTTCTCAACAAAGGGACATAATATAATTTTATTGCTATTGATTTAATTATATTTAATTTTAACTGGATATAAAAGGATTTACTTTGGTCATTTTGTAAGTGTCTGTTACATTAGCATTATATAAGAATCATGTAACAGGCATTAGTTTTGAAATAACACATTTCAAAAAGATTTATTAAGCTCTTAATGCACTCAACCATGTTAACCCTTTTGAGAAGGCACGCCTTTGTTTAAGACGTTTCTTTGGGACAGACAAAGTCAAAAGGAATTATCCCACAGGATGGGTTTTGCATTGCTAAGTGTAACTTTAGAAGGGGGGAAATCACATACACAAAAAAGTTTTAAGTCCTAACATCATAATTTTTGGTATCATTTTAGATTACTTCTTAAGCTATCATGTATGTTAAAATTAGCATTTAATACTCTTTTTCCTTTAGTTTACATGAGAATTTGAAAGAAAAATTTCTTACTTTGAGACATAATTTTCAGAAGTGCTGTTCAAATTATTCTGAAGTTTTAATTGACAAGAATTAATAATTAAAATTATTAAGGCAGATACTCAGTGAGCTCATTCTCTTACAAAATACTCTTTAGAAAATGAATCATCACTCTCATCTATGTCACTAATTGGCTCATATACCATACTAGCATATGAGCATACTAAAAATATTTTCATATTTGACAGAGGAAAAATAATGAAAATCAACTAAAATGTTTCACAGATAACTCCTTGACATGTCAGCTGTTTGAATATGTAATGATAATATAGTTTGGAAGGAAGTTGGCTGGTTAAAAATATAACTAAAGTAAAAAAAAAAGGAAAAAAAAGGTGGTGGTAAAAAAAAGGAAGTTACTCTCCAAACAGCCCAATAAATTCATGTTGCATAATTTTTTTCATTAAATATGTTATATTTCATTTTTAATTATTTCCTTTTAATTTGGATATACAGTACCTGCCACGTATTAAAATCACTTTTGTTCCAAATATATTTGAGTTTATTAAGCAGCTGAGTTTAATAGACAACAATGAATTCAATAACTAATCCTAAAATAATAATTAAAAATTAACTAAAATTAAATTATTTACATAAATTTGAAATTTATTTTTTATAAAAATATTTTTGTAATTGCACTGTTGATGAAATTTTATCTTTGCAAGTAGTTGTTCTGTCTATATTTATTTTGCATTGTTCATCAACAGTTTTTCATCAGCTTATGTGGTTTTTTATTGTGAAATTGTATATTTAGTAGTTTATGTGGTTTACTATATTGTGAAATTATGCTTGGAATTTATTTTTTTTTTGTATTGGCTATTCTTTGTTACTTATTCTGTTTTTCATTATTTTAGCTTTTGCCTTGGTAGCAGATCTAATCTTGACTTGTAAGTTATTTCACGATTTTGATGTATGATTTTATGTTTAATCTGTGTCTTTTGAAAACAGTTTTATTCTTGATAAACATTTTAAACATCTGTGTCTTTTGAGAACAATTTTATTCTTGATAAATATTTTAAACATATTATTATTTGTACAATTTACCTGTATTTATTATGAAATAATGAAAAATTAATATGTATGTATGTATGTTCTTTGCACTGTCAAAAAATGGCATTACTTGTAGCCTCCAGATTTTAAAACACATAGTAATCCTCTCAAATATGTGCAACTTGAAGTTCAAATTTTGAATTTTTTTTACATTCATGTATTTGGTAATTTAATCAATTTTTTTTTTTTAAAAACTCAGAAGTTTTTTAAAACTTTTAATGGAAACATTGCTCGAAAATAATATATCTTTTTTTTTGGCATTGCAGTGGGTTGATAGTTGGCATTCATAGCCACAAACAAAATGTGTGTACCACTTAAGAAATAAACCACAACATGTAACCTTTTTTAAAACCAAATTGATAAATTTCTACATAGTTAATTTAGTCAAACATGTCATTTAACATTCGTAACATATATGGAAATTAATATATAATATATAGATTATGATCCGAAAATTCAGATTTTTCGAACAAGTTTTCTAATTGCGCCCAATAGCTGCAAAGTAAGATAATAATAATTTTATTCAAACTATTTCCAAAAATAACGATAATTATTTTTTTTAATTTTTTTCAAAAGTTCGAAATTTTATTATTCATGATTAAATTCAATGTCCGTAAAAACGGTTTTTTTTTTTTTTTTTTTTTTTTTTTTTTTTTTTTAATAATTTACATTCGATTACTTTAAAACCCAATTTTGAAATGAAACTCTGAAATAGGGGTTCCTTCTGTTTTGATACGTTCTACTAAATTAATATTAGGACAAACATAAATATTTTGTAACAATTAATATATACTCATATTATATAGATATATATATATGTAATGTTTAAAATGCGTCGATGAGGCATGGAACTTTAAACTTTACGATTGCTGGTAGATTCGTTTTAGAGGTAGAGGACCTAGAACCTATAGAAACCAAGTGTTAGCCAGTTGGAAAGCATTGAGACGCAATTTTAGAACAACCAAGAGTTGAAAAATATGTGCGTATTGCATACTTTACATTGGGAAATTATTTTTTTTTCCTAATAAATTGGATGTTAAAAATGGATGATGTGCTATACGGAATATAATTTTAATATATATTAAACTCTGAATTCTAATAATTTCCAACTTAAAAGCAAGTAAAGAATCTTCAATTTTTAATTATTTGAGGGAAGGCTATCAATGTAAGTTTTTATATTTTGAAATTTTGTTGAAATTTGAATACGAATTCGATTTTATAAAATATTGTTTAAAAAGAAAGAGTAGATTGTAAAAAATAAGTGAAATTTACACATTGTAAATGCAATTATGATAAATGATTTTAAAATTGATGGGTGATTGTATTTCAATATGAAGTATGCATTGAGGGTGTTTTGTACCTGAGTTACTAAAACAGAGGCCTGTAATTACTTCTGTACAGTTGTTCCCTTTTCCTCTCATGTAAGATAATGTTGGGAGGCTTCCATTTGAATAGCATGTGTATTTTTTAAAAAATTTGTTATTAACTTTATTTTATTCTGAAATGTATAGGCAGTCTTTAAAGGCAGACCCTATACTGCAATATACTGTTGTCGGGTTCTATTGCGGAGGCAAATACTTCCCCGTATGCAAAACAAACGTTCTAGCGGGGGGGGCGTATTAGAAAATTCCTGATTGGTTCCTCTGAGGGGAGAAATCAGTGCGAAAAGGGAGGGAAGCGGAATATGGGACAACAGTTTTGCGGGGCTCAGGAGAGTGCGTTGACGCGAAGCTATTTGCAACACTAGTCCAAACAAGAACAAGTCAAAAATTAATCCTAAAGGCCGTTAATGATGCTCGATAGCCATGCTCCTTGTGAATTGGTTTCAAAATGATTGGAATCTGTCAGAAAGAGATGTTATGTGTGGGGAAAGATTGAACATGGAGGGAGGGGGGGGCAGTACACAGAGTTACTGACGAGCAACACTTAATTTTGGCTTTCCTAATTAAGGTGCAGAATGGAAAGATGAGGCGGATGATCATAGCTCGATATACTCAAAGTTAGCTGTACTGTTGTTCTTTGCTTTCCTGAAAAAGTTTCCATTTATTTTGGATAAGTAGTCTTTGATATAATCAATATAAAGGTCTCAATGTAAATCTTCATTTCTAATATAGTATGGGACATTTGTGATGGTTCTCAGGATCTTGTTTTGCAGAATTTTGCAGCCGGGGAATTTCACTTGCCTTAGCACTTGCCCAGGCCGAGGAAGCATATGTGATAACAGGCCTGACAATTGCAGTGTAAAGCCTTCTTTTGTGTGCAAGGTTTAATCCAGAGTCTTTAGAAAGTAGTGGGTAAAGCTTTTTCAGAATGCCATACGCTTTTTCACACACACTGTTTATGTGTGCATTCCAGGTAAAAGATCGATTTAAAATGACTCCTAGGTATTTTGCCGTATTTACAGTAGGGACTGTTTTCCTGAAGAGCATAACAGTACAGGTGACGGGGTCTGTCGTCTTGAATTTTTTGATAACTAAAACTTTCGACTTCTCCGGGTTGATCTGAATTTTCCATCATTGACACCATGCTTTAATATCAGGAATAATCTGCTGAATTTTCAATCTGGTTTGGTCGTCTGTTTTCGATGGGGCGGTGGTTGTCATCCCGTAGCATGCTAAATAATATTAGGGTCTTGTATGAAGGTTGGGAAAAACGAATTGAAGTCATTTAGTATAAATATAAAATATTGGTTCAAGGATACTTCCTTGTGGGGACACCAGTGTTTTTGATGTGGGTTGAACTGGAACTGAATCTCCTTGCGCCGGGAAAAAGTTTTCTGGGGACTTACAACATGAGCTGAGAAGAGATGAAATAAATAATTCCCGAGGAAAATTCAAATTGACCGAGCTTATAAAAAATAAGTCCTCTATGCCCAAGGCTAAAAATTTTTGCCACGGTCTGGCAGGAGGATTCCATTATTTGTGTTATATTAAAAGAAGGAAAATATTCAGACTGACTTAACTGAGAGAAGTGATGAGTCCTCGTTGGAAAGCTGAAAGCCGTTGTTGTCATCTGCTAGGGAATATCGAGGAAAGGGGTTTTTAATTCCCCTTCCTCGATCTTCTAGCAGAGAATAGTAAGTATTCAGAGCGTGTACGTGAATTGTATGTGCTGGCTGGTTGTTGATAGTGATTCAGTTTTGGAGAGTGGTTGTTTGGTAGTGGCAAGCTCGTTTTCGCGAGTTTGTTTCCCGAGTTGATTGATACATCGAAGCCTGTTTATGACGGTGGATTGGGATTCATCAAAGAATGCTCTAATGAAAGCTGGAGAAATGTTGTGTCCTGGAAATGGTGGAAGGCTTTTCAAGCAATTAATGTCCGAATAAGTGGCGGAAAACGAGTTAATGAATGTTGCCGCGAATTTTTTTAAATGATCGCTCAAAGCATAAAAAAGCATCTAGTCGAAAGTTTGTTTCCATTGCCGGTATTTAGGTTGTCGAGCGAGCCACGACCCCATTAGAGGCCACAAAACTGGCCAAAGCTCAATTAGCAGGTGTTTCTTCGTTCTTGTGACAAGAATTTTAAACATTTTTGAGGAATTACTGGAACTAATAGCGATGCCCTGGTACTACCACAGGAGAAGATATATTTACTTGTGTTTTTGGACTTCTGCAAGAATACAATCTACCTTTGGCAAAATTAAATTCTGTAGCTACAGATTGTGCTCCATCAATGACCGGGAAAAACAAGGGCTTCGTAGCATTACTAAGAAAAAAAACTGAGTGAAATTCATGGTTCAAACATTCATCATATGCATTGTATTATACATCAAGAAGTTCTATGCAACGAAAGTAATAAATATGGAGAATGTTTTGTCATATATAAAAAAAAGTTATAAATATTATATAAGATCTCGAGGTTTTTTAAATCAGCGTCAATTCACTGCTTTCTTAAGTGAGTTAGATAGTGAATATTCGGGTTTGTCCTACTATACCGATGTATGTTGGTTATCTTGCTCCAAGATTCTCACAACAATTCCAGGATTTGAAAGAAGAAATATGTCCAGTTTTTAAAAACGAAAAATCAAGACGTAAGTTTGTTTTACGATCCAATTCGGATACAAGATTTATCTTTCTTGGTTGATATAACCAAAACACTTAACTGATTTAAATTTATCGTTACAAGGAGAAGATCATATCATTACGAACATGTTTGACATAAATTAAAGCATTCAAATGTCCAACTAGTTCTTTGGGAAAAACAACTTAAAAATGAAGATTTGACGCACTTCCCGACGTGCAGCATGAACAAATCAAGTTTAGATGATACTTTTTCGTATCAAAAATACACAGAAAAAATTGCAAATTTAACAACTGAATTTGAAACGAGGTTTAATGATTTTAGTTCCCTCGAAGACAATTTTTTTTTTTGTTTTCTTCGATTTTCTCAATAAGTATTGACTCAGTACCCAGCCATATGCAAATGGAGGTGATCGAGATTCAATGCAACTCAAAATTTGAAAGCAAAAATTCATTGAAGTGGGCGTGCCTGAATTTTACAAATATTTACCAGCCAAGTTTGAAAATACTCGAAAATTCGGATATGAAATTATTTCCATGTTTGGTAGCACTTATCGGTGTGAGCAGTTATTTTCAGTCATGAAAGGTAATGAAGTCTGCCTATTAGAAACCGTATTAATGATGCTCACCTTGGGTCAGCGTTGAATGAAAGTTATCACTGCAAACAAAATTTCTCCCGAAATAGGAAAGATAATAGCAGAGAAGAGATGTCAAGTATCAGGACGTAAACATTAAATTTTTCTTGTTCTTTTCTATATAAATATATGTATATATATTTATTATTGTATTATTCGAAATAAATCTACGTTTCTATGAATATTGATTTTTTTTTTTTTTTTTTTGCAGTCCGCTTAAAGTTAAACCTTGTTTGTTTGGCCCAAGTGTACCTATGAGTTTGACATCCCTGGTGTACAGGGTAGTCATGGTTTCCACATCAGATATTTTCTTTTTCACATTGCTATTTTAGTATTATTGCTAGTTATTAAATTACGAAGAATCTGTATGTATATTGCTAACAGTGCAAAAAAATGACATCACATAGAGGCATTAAATTTTCAACACATGTAGTTCTATATAACAAATGTATTTTTTAACACATGTAGTCGTAGATATGTGTGTCTCAGTCTGAATTTTTAATTTGCTTATTATTTCATATTTTATGTCAGTTTAGGCATTTTGGTATACAGAGTCGATGATTTGAATGTAATCTGGTGCCACCCGGCAAAGTGTTGAATATTTATGTTTCAAATTTAATGAAATGCAATTATTTAAATGAAATGTATTGCCACCAGGCAAAACATAACATATTTATTTTTCATATTTAATCAGAAAACTCAGCAGTTTAACAGAAATGTGTTGCCAGTATCTGGAACAAAGTGTGCTGTCATTCTGTATAATGTAGGGAATTTTCTTTTTCTTTCAAACTTAATCTGCAATTGATTTACAAATGAAGTATTTAAGAGCAATAAATGCATTTTCCGTCTTTATTATTAATTAGTAGTTTGACCTGTGAAATGGCATTCATTGAATTTATTAAAATCATTTTTATATTTTTCTTTTTTTTGTAATAGCTATTTTAAGCTATAATTTATAATAACTGGCCATATAAGCAGCTAGTTTTAAATACACACTATCCTTCTTTCCATGTATGGAATTTCAGTGTTTTGTATTTGTGTAGAATATAAATTGAAGAAATGAATAGAACTTTCTTGAAATAATGATACTTTATCTAGAAATATAAATGATAGTTATCTCAATCGTTGTTTACGCCATTCCTTTGTTCCTACATGCACACATATGCATGGAGTGTAGTATTAAACTTTAAAGGATAGTATTAAACATTTGATTTTCATTCACACTTGTTAGCGAAAACTATTAAATGAAAATGAACAAGATCTCAAAATTTAGTGAGATATAATTTTTGATTAGGCAATTTAAATCTTTTAAGAGATTTTTAGAAGTTGCCGTGCTATATTCAGGTATTTATATGAATTATGTAATACATCATCAGATATTTATATGAATTATGTAATACACCATTTAAAAAAGAAGTAAAGATAATTAAAGATTTCTCTAGCTAAGTCTTTTAGAAAAATGAAAAAAATATGAATCTTAGGTACATTTTTATCAGTATATTAAAAATAAAATGTTTTAGAAAATAATTGTATTAATAGCTTTTTTAATGATGCTGGATGGAGGAGAAATGTTTCCAGTATGTAAATAAATACCTTGATTCAGCACATAGAGTTATTTATTTGAAAGTATTATGTTTGAATCCAAGGAAGTTTAATTTGCAAGGATTTCTTGATTTCAGACTCCTTTATTCTCTGCAATTTTTGATTAAGGGACATTTTAAGTTATTTTGATTAAGTTTTTGATTAAGGGACATTTTAAGTTATTTCTGCTATGTTTTGTTCATTGTAGATAATAACAAATTGGCTACATCCATATTTGCATTCAGTTTATTTGAGTTTTAATGACCAGTAGCAAAAGCTGTTATATTTAAAAAACTGTTTCCTAATAATGGGGGGCATTAATTATATTTTATCAACTATTTAATCTACTTTGAATTTAGCATTTTCATTACATTTTATTGTAATTTTCATTCTTTACTTACTTTTAGATACATCTGCCAGTTGACAAGAACTCTGTCAGATTCTTTTAGTCGATATATAAAGGTGTTACATCGAGGTCTTGAGAGTTCATCCAAAATGAATGGTGAAGAGATTGAAGGTCGTGTTGTTTTCACTGCTGGCATTAAACTTTCTGAGGATTCTGAAGATGATTCACAGGTAATTTTTTCTGTCTTATTTCGTGAAATAATACAATTATAAACTGCATATTCTTGCATTTTTATGCATAATATAATTGGATATGAGCTATTTAGAAATTGCTCAATGAAAATTACCTTAGGTTGAAGGGAGAAGCAGTATACTTATGACTGTTTGTTAACATTATTGTACATAAAATTTATCTGAAATGTTTAGAAAATACAGATAATTAAAAATTTTAAGTTTGTATTTTGAAATGAACTCTAAAAGTGAACTGAAAAGTAAATTCTTAATTTGTAAGAGAGTTCATTGGCAAGGTTTTGCATTCATTTGCTGACCTAGACGTTCTGTATTTTTCCCCCTAGTTAGTTTGTTGAATTAATAAAGCATGTCATACAAGGGTTTCTGCCAAAGGAGGGTTGTTTTTATACAGGAATTTTTAAGGGAAACTAGCTTGTATTTGAGATATACGTGGGTAAGTCATTAAGTTTTTAGGAAACGGAAATCTTGATCTTTGTATATTTAGGTGTTGCTTTTTTTTTTTTTTTTTTTTAATTCTGTCTTCAGCTTTTCCATTTTCCATTCTTTAAAATCTTCTTTTCAGAGTTGGAAGATAGTTTATTATTATTATATACATTATTTACTTTAATTTTTATCCTTATGAGCAAAATGTTTTATAATTTCCAATTTTGCATCATCTATCATCTGATCAATTTTAGATGATGTAACAATATCTTCAATTTTCTTAAAAAAAAAAAAAGCTATTTAACAGCACCTTTTGCAATGTCAAATATTATTATGCACATTATTTGTGTTGATTTTCATCAGATTAGCAGCAAGTCTTTTTTAATTTCTCATCATCCATTAGTTTGTCAACTTTAAATGATAAGAAATAATCTCTTCAATTTTCTTAGAAAATAGGTATTTTACTGTGTCCTGTGTTATGTCAACTATATGTGCATTAATTTTTTTTTCATTCTGTAGACTTGGGAAGGGGGTAGGAATCTTGAAAGTTTATGCTGTTAATATTTGCATTCAGATTTTTGCTAATTAAAATATCATGAATGAAAAATGAAATAGCGGCATCTCTAAGGATAAAATAGGTACAAATAAAATGGAAATAACTTTACCTCTTAATTTAATTTGAATTAACTAGAAATAAGTTTTGCATTAGTGCAATAAAAATAAAACAAGATTTTGTGTTAAATAATATTGAAGTATCTCGTTGTTAATGAGACTTAATTTTGTTGTTTTGTTTTGTGAGAAGTAGAAATAATTATTGAATTTAGGCAAATTCATGATATATTTTTGTTATGTTTAATATTTTGTTTTGTGGAAATAAAGAAATTCTTTTAACTGTTTTAATCTTGTCAACAAGGCCATTGGTGCTTTCAGCAAATGGAGAAACTTAATATGCTTTATTAGGAATATTTAAAAAAAAAAAATTCAGGCTTAATTTTTTTGGCCTATTTTTGAATAGTTAACACAAAGTGTATGCAAAGATATTCATTTTTAAGATCCTTCTGCACTTACGTTTTTAGTTAAATTTAGCGGAATTAAAAAAAAATTAAAAGGAAGAGAAAAGTATATTGAAAGATTATAATCGTGATTCTCCCCCCCCACCTGTCTTTTGAAGCTTATTTTAAGTTAAATAAGAACAAACATTTATTCAATAAACCTTAGATTATTTTACATATCTTTGATACTAAAATGTATTTACAGTAAACTTATATAGGTTCATCTAATTTGTTCATGACATTTTTTGATTCACATTATGTCTTTCTCGCTAATGTTTCCAACTGTAATGTTATTCCTTTTCTTCCATTTGTTCATGCATGCCCTTCTTAACACTTGAACTCATAGTTCCTGTCCAATAACTTGACTAGCTGTTCAACTTTTGTCTTTAGCACAGGTCTATCAGGAATGATACCTAAGATCTCTAAAGAGTAAAGTATTGAAATAATTCTTAGCCATTATCATCTTGATCTGATAACCCAAGATTTTTATGTATAACTCTTGCTTATATTTAAAGCATGAAAATATTATCTTTATTTTTCAAGATGTTATTTATGAGTGATTTTCTTAAAAAATTGTATTGACATATGTTTACCTGCAAGAAACTGTTCAGTATGACCGAAAATGTTCACTTCATCTTACAAAGAGAACACTTAATGCTCTGAAATTTTGACTATTCGGAAGAGGTCTGATCTTTTTCACTTCCTTGTGTGAAGTAAAGGGAGTGTAATTACAAAAAATTTTGAGTATCATATTTCAACAGAAATATCTGGATCAATCTATCTCGCCTGGATCAATGACTTTTGCACATATGACAGAATAAAGACCTTTTTTTTCCGAAACAGATTGTAAAATGGACCAAAAGTTTTTTTTTTGGATATGCTTACGCATGAGTGTGTGTATACATCTCACATAACTCAAAAGCAGTTAGCTGTAGAATGTTAAAATTTTGTGTATGGGATCGCAGTAGCATCTACTTTTGCACCTCATTTTTTTTATTGCAGTCAGCAGTACTATATGTGTGTATATATTATATATATATATATATATATAATACATAATAAAATTAAAAAAAAAAAATTCAAACTTCTTTTTACCCCTAGGATAAAATAATCTTTCTTAAAAAAAAATGTCATAGTTTTTTAAATTCAATCCTTTGCAGCTCAAGTGCAGGAATGTCTTATTTTTATTTTATTTTATTTATTATTAAATCCTATATGTAATATACCCGGTTACGGCCGAAAACATCGCAGATGAAAACGTTACGGAGAAAACTACGCAAGGCGAAAACATCGTGCTACAAAACATCGTGGGAGAAAACATCGCAGTTCTAAAACATCGTCATCAAAAATAAAGTGGTTAAAAAACTTTGCAGTTTAAAAACATCATTATCGAAAATATTGTGGTAAAAAATAAAGTATTTACAAATGATCGCATGACGATAACATCGCAGACATGCTTTAATAATTGTAAATGGATATTCCCATAATGATTTGTGAGCGCAAGATGGAAAGAAGGATAATTTTTACTTTCATATTTTTTACTAATTAATAAATTTTTGCTGAGAAAATAAAAAGGAAACTTAAGCATAGAAAATTAATGCAACTTATAGCACTTAATACAATTTTAAACCGACATAGTTAACTAACAAAGGCCATTAATAAATCATTTTTATAAAGTTTTTACTGGTAATTTTTCATGAAAAGTATAATCTATAAGTTGCATTTAATTTTCTATGCTTAAGTTTCCTTCTTACTTTTTCAGCAAAAATTTATTAGTTAATAAAAAAATGTGAAAGTAAAAATCATCCTTCTTTACGACTTGCACTCACAAATCATTATGGGAATATCCATTTACAATTATTAAAACCTGAAAAAAAAAAAAAAAAAAAAAAAAAAAAAAAAAAAAAAAAAAACATGTCTGCAGTGATTTGTAGATACTTTATTTTTTACCACGGTATTTTCGATGATGATGTTTTTAAACAGCGAAGTTTTTGAACTGCTTTATTTTCGACGACGATGTTTTAAAACTGCGATGTTTTTTCTTTGCGATGTGTTTTCCTACGATGTTTTGTAGCACGACGTTTTCGCCTTGCGTTGTTTTCTCCGCGACATTTTCGTCCACGATGTTATCAGTGGACATCAATATACCCACTCCCATTAAAACACTTACTTGGTCTTTATTTTTGCAATTGTTGGTCATTGCCATCTACTTCCAATTACAGAAGTGTTTTAAATGATGAAAATATTCATGTTTTGGGAAAGTCAAATTAAAAAAAATATTTTTTTTTTGGCAAGTAACAAAATCTAACTTCATGTATAATAACAATTTATATATGTAGTTAATCTAATAATAACTATCTAACAGTATTTAATACCAGTTTATTGTTGTGAATATCCATAGACTCCAACTACTACGGATTCTCCGTATTTTCTACGGAAATTCATGAAAAACTACGAGCTACGAAAAGTATGGAAAAAACTACGGATTTTACAGAAACAAGAGCAGGAGAACCAGTACGCAAAACGGAACCAACTAATTCATCCGATGATTGGCTGAATACTCGTGTTATCATATATCATGTGTTGAGTGCGTTCCTAGTTTTGAAGAATTAGCCAATCGTAGATCAGTAACTCCAACCGTTAACGACTTATCAATAGTTCCCCCGCAACATCTGTCTCATAGTTTCCATGCTGCTGCATGTTTAGGCTGCATTCTGCTCCATTGTGTTAGATTTATGGTGAGATCTTAGCATGTCTTGTGAACTGTGAATCAGGTGGAAGATTTTTTGTTAATAATGTTACCTCGAAACGAAGACGCCAAAATTATCAAAGCAGAAAATTTAAAGATTCATATTCTTCAGAGTTTCCATGCATTAAAGCATCCGGAATTTCTGTGAATCACACACACTGCAGTGTATGCAACAAAGACTTCTCAGTTGCACATGGCGGAAAAAGATGACTGTAAATGACATGTTTGTTCTCAAAAGCATATAGAACTTGGCACCGTAAAATCTAAAGAAATAACAAATTTCTAATAAAAGATGATGAAACAGATCCTATAAAAGCCGAATGCTATTTTGTTCGTTTTTTAATTGAACATAATCTACCGCTTTCTGTTTCGGATCATTCCAAAGAGCTTTTCAAAAGAATGTTTCCGGATTCTGCCATAGCAAAAAAAATTTAGCTGCGGTCATACCAAAACTGCTGCTATTGTGAAAACGCTTTGCAGAAAATACTGTTGTTGTTGATATTATGAAATCAGTGTGCAGTACATCATTTTCTCTAAGTACTGATGGAAGTAATGATAACAATGATAACAAACTGTACCCATTGGTTATAACATACTACAGTAAAGAAAGGGGAGTGATAATTACTTCATTGATTTCTATTTTAGAATGCACGAATAATACAGGAGAAGGTATTTTAATTGTATAAATGAAAACTTTAAAAACAAAGGTTTAGAATGGAAAAATTGCTTATCATTTTCTTCAGATAATGCTAGTA